GAGAGAGAGAGAGAGAGAGTTAAAGTAGAAACGGGGATGCAGATGAGATTTTACAAGGATATTTTTTTTACGCTTTATCAAGTTTGTAATAAACGTTTTCTTTCCTTCTCCTTATTGCGAATACATTGTTTGTAAACTTGCATTGTGTTATCTTTTTCGGTATGTTTACTCTTACGTAAAGCCTTTATTTCAAATTACGGATTGAATTTTTTTTTTAAATTGAGAGTCAGTATCTTATTATGAAATTAAAGGGGATCCTAATTTGTCCGCAGTTGTGCAAAATGCTGATATCCAGAAAATTCTGATCGAGGTTTGTTACCAAGCGGTGCCGTATTTGACAAGTTGACAACGACTCGATGCAAAATGATGTGTCACGTATTTCAATGCTCTCTCCACAAACACACTTCTCATGGGCTTTAGATGACATGAATAAATCAAGAATCATGAACTAATCTAAGGGCTCTCACGCCCACTTTGTGCAGTTATTATTTAAATTCATTCAAAAACTGACTGACGGGCATAAAAATAAACACCACCACATCAGTTCAAACTTGAGCGCAATAATAAAATGAACCGTGAAAAGGGAAAGAGATAGATGGCGATTGAAAATGACTACAAACCAGAAGTGATCCCAAGATATGATTGTTTGAAAAAAAAGGTCTTACACACTCTTATAAAAAGATACAAGTTTGCTTCCTTGTTTTTAAATCTAAGCTTACGAGTTTTCAAATCTACTTCACCACACTGGTTTCAACGATTAACAATTAATTAGTTATCCTTCTCGGAATCCTATTTCCACATCCCCGTTGTGAGCAGGTGAATGCTGTTCTGTTATTCATTTTTTTAAAGATAGCGTTCGGGGTGTAGACAAATATAGCACAGTCTGTGATAAGATATTATTCTGTATTCATATTCGTCCACTACCCCGGAAAAAACAGTACACTGAAAAGCCTTATTTACTACTTTTTACTCTTTCATTTTCTGTTTCCGATAACCATCGAGGGGAGAAGCAGTTTTCTACCGTAGGACAGCCCAGCAGCTTTTTCAGTTGAGACTTTATAATTTCTCCGTCATTATGTAGCAATAACTGCGAGACCGTGACAAACCAAACGTCTCCAAAATCAATGTAAGACAAATTCTGTATACTCTACTGCAGACAAGATTTCTTTTTTCCCTGCTCCAACTGTATAAAAGACTACACTCTTCTCAGCCAAAGTGTCCAATCAGCGTATATGACGTGTGTTACTTAAAAAAAAAAAAAAGACATTACACTGCTCCTTAGGCGCTGCTGAACTTCGGCTCAGAAAAATCCGAAAAGGTATCGACGTCAAAAAAATGATTAAAATGAACCACAGTTGTTACTGCATGTACAAACAGACAAGCGAGACTGAGAGCAAACAATCAAAGAAACAGATACACAAAGACGTTAAGGGCAGGAAAGCACAAATCATTCCTGAATTAACTGGAAAGTAAAATATACACCACACAGTGCACTTTGCTTTAAAATAACTGTTTCTCCGAAGCCGTAAACTGTTTGCATTTGGCCTCCCTGGAGCCTTTTCAGAGGCATTCTTCCTCGGGTTTATAACTCCTTATCTGCAGATCAGTATATCATAGACCTCTCTGTAAAGGTTGCGAGTGAACGCCGATCTAAACTGAACCAACATCCCCTTGAATATTGTTTTCAAACATCTATGTATGTTATGTCATTTATAATATGAAAAAAATATAAAACGGTAGACCATATCTAAGAACTCAAAACCACTCACAAACCAAAAATGAGCTTCATGCGAGCCAGGTAGACAACTTTCATTCTCTTATTGATTCGATTTTCAAAAGTTTCTTCAGAACGTGCTAATTAGTTATTGAAGAACAGAAATGTTAATTATACACAGAATAAAGCACTCCCAGGGAGACGCCCCATGCTTGAAAGTCCATTTCGTACATGTGGTAAAATAAAGTTTAAAAAAAAGAAGAATCGATATAGATCTACCTTTTCCAAAAAAATAACACGGGCACTATACTGACCTAAAAATGCAGTGGCTGAGATGGCCCCCTCCCTGATGGCAACAATGAAAGTGATCCCCGTCTCCATGTAGGGCACGGAGAAGTTGATGGCCTTACTACGATCCTCGTCGATGGTCATGGAGGACACAGCCATATCCGCACGGCCCTCTCTCAATTCTCCAACGATCCCGTCCCAGTTTCCGTCTGCCATCTGAAAGTGAGAGGAAAAGGGTAGATTGGGGGATGGGTGACGGTGCATTTGTCGTCTGAGGTCTGAATTAAAAATTACGATTCTCTCTATTAAAAAAAACCCAACTGTATTTATTTATTTTTGGGGGATGGGAGGTGGAGGGTAATTATCAGCGTTGAAAAATGAAAGGTAGTTTGCCAAAATAGCCTTTCCTCACGACTAACTCGATTAAGTACAGCTTATCAAGACCAATGGTTAATTTAAAAAGCCCTGTCGGTATATCTATGTTACACTCAACTTCTTATAATACTTAATACTAATAAGATTGTATCCCTTTCACGTGTATTCTCTGATCCAACAGCATAACTTTTTAATAACTGGAGCCTGTCATGTACTACGTGTGTGGCTATCACTCTCAGATTGCGGAAATTTCGGTAAAGTTAATGTAACCTCCCCCCTTCCACCACCCCCCCTCTCCTCTAAAAAAAGCAGCACATCCCGCTGTCTTCCTATTGCTGTAAGACATAAATGCAAACCCATGGGGAATCTGTGTATTGCACACTAAGACAGGCAGTTCGAAAAGGGGAACGGGGATATATTTATTCTTTCCCGATAGAATCTACTTTATACCGACATAGATATTGAATTTGGGGTCTTGAGTACAATTAATTAGATTAAATGAGAAGCTAGTCTCAAACTGTCTATACACCATTTTGAACAAAATGAAGCAAAATCATCCAAACAAAAATTACTAAATCTACTTTCGTAAGTGTTCTAGTCGAAAGCAGAAACCAACAATAACCAAAAAAATTCATAGCAACTTCCCCTTCAATTTATAGTCTATGTAAAGCTCATGGTTATTTCAGCTGTAGAGTTGAGCGAAGATGTTCAGTAACCTGCTCATTTCTTCCTCAGAAATGAACGTTGTTTTCTGTGTTTTGGGGATTTTGTTAGTTTATTTTATGTATTTTATTTTACTTAGGAGGAGGGGGAAGGGGGGGGGGGTCTTTGATTCGTTTTGCTTTTTTGGTTTTATAAGAATGTACTTTTCAACTTTCTAAACCGATGAGCTGCTCGCGCAGAAAAAAATCAGTAAGCGGAATAAAGCGAAAGATAGATCTTCCTTTTTTCTATAACAGAAGATATGTGTATATATAAAGCCTACCTCTTATACTTCAGTCAAACTTTGAACCCCTTGGTGATCTAAAATCGATAAGAGTAGGCTTCGGCCGCCACCCGGGAAAAATTCAAAATTTCCTACCAACTGAAAATATTAGGTGTGTCCCGCGCGCTCATATGACCTTATGCAATTGAGAGCGCCTTAAAACACTTTACAAAAACAAACAAAAAACCTTGAACGCATTAAAATTAGAAAACCGGATCTCAAACTTTTATTTGAAATTCACATTCAAATTGCATTCATTTGATAAACCCTTCTTTCAAAAAGTTTCCTTGAACGCACAGTTGCTGAAAACATTAAACAAAAATTTAAAAAAAACAATAACAAACTTCAGTATTATAGAAATTGAAATCGTGAAAATGTCCTACTTGGGTGCCCCATTGTAAATCCTCTACTTCGTACAAGTAGTAGTCAAAGTTCAGTTGGGCTGCTATCTTGTGAAGAAAATCAATACTGAGTCCGGTACAGCAGTGTGGCTCTGTCTCGTTGGATAACCTGTTT